TTTGTAGTAGTCCAGATGCTTGCGTACTCTTCCTCCTACACAGCAGATGGAGATGGCATAAGCCTTTTGATGATCGGCTACTTCCTTCTTTTTTACATAAGTTTTAGGAGCTGGCAAGTTTTTTAGTTAGACTTAATAGAACTCATAAGCCCTGTCCAGCAGGTGGTGCATCATTACCTTGCCAACACAGAGCTGAACAAATAGGGGAGGAAAACTTCCTTTTTAATTTTAATCTTGGAGATGAGTTGGGGGTCAGCTTTACAGTATGCTTATCGGAAAGGGGAAGGCAGGTCCTTCGTAGGATAATCTGGATTAATCGCTCTCATTTTAGGCAAAAACTATTCTGAATGTATTATGTTAATTGCCTATAAGCTGTAATATTTCAAAGTATAAGAAAGCAATTCAGAGAGAACCTTGCTGGGTGAAGAGTTAAACTGCTGCTTTCCTGTGCATTGTGCTAGACTTGTGGTGCGTGTGAAAAATACTTCTTTAAACTGAGGATGAGTTAGATGGTCGTCATCTACGTTATAACAAAACTTAAGTAAGTTAGCTGCTCGCTCTCTCCGTGCCAGCCTCTCCTGTTCAGTAAAAGACGCTTTTTGGCTTGCTAGCAGTTACACTGCTCATAATTTTTTTTTTAACCTCATTGAAAAATTGTTATCCCGGTGAGGTGAATGAGACCGTTTTTTCCACTTAATTACAGACTCGGGCCTGTGTAAATTCATCTGTTTTGCATTTATTTCACAATTTGGATTTTTGTTGTTTCGCAACTGGGAGTTCCATTTCACAACCACAAAGTTTGGAGGCATATTTTAATGGGTCCTGCAAAATAACAATGTAGAAAACCTCCTTTAATAAAGAGAGGGGACAACCTTAGCCTCTGCCCAGTAGTTTGAGTAGTTGCATGAGAATGTTTTTGACAGATCTGTGTGTATGACAGCTCTTATTGGAGATGTAAAATACAATGTAGCAGTTACTGAAATTAGTTTTGGCTTCTCTTTTTTTTTTTTTTTTTTTGTAGGAATATTTTGGTGGACAAGCCCAATGATCAGTCCTCAAGATGGTCTTCAGAAAGCAATTACCCTCCCCAGGTAAGCTTCTGAATCTTAGTGCAACTCCTTAGCCCTATTGCAAATTAATGTACATTGAAATTTTTATTTTAAATGTAGGCTGCTGCTATTTATATTGGCAACCTTTATAGGTTACTTACTCTCATTTCAACAAAATGTATGTTGTTGGTACACTAGGTATTTACATTTCCAGCAATCTGTGGTGTTTAAAGGAATGCTGCGGTGGGGGGACAAAGGAGGAGGAAGTGTTTGGTGTTTCAACCTTTAAAATCCTGATCATATTGGAAGTAAGCTAACCTCACAGTTGGACTAAGTTGCTAATAAGGCATGCAGGTCCTCCTGTGTCAGCACCGTTGGAAACTATTGTGGAGTGCTGGCCTTGAATCCTAGATGTAAGGAATTTGTATTTGTTACCCTTAATAGCACATTTAGAAATCTAAAATCTGTTTTAGAGAGAGATATGAATGTCATCCCTTCTGTTGGTTAATCACCTTGTTAAAATATGATTTGTAGTGAAAAGGCAAATTAGATATGAAAATCAATATTAATCAGTTTTTTAGGTAATCAGGAAAAATATGCTTATTCTTCTACTTACAACTTTTTCCTCTAATAAATGCTTCTTTTTATCATAGATCTATACCTTCTAACTGCTATATTATTTTATCAGCTTCTCCTGCATCTTCTTATGCCGAGTGTTTTTAGATTCGTTTGTTTGCACGTTGCTGCGCATGCGTAGCTATTTGGCAAAATATCTCTCAAAAGTTTTGCTCTGCTTATCTACCCATAAAAATAAAATATAAGAACATCTAATCCAAGTATTCTCTGCAAGTTAAGTCTCATTTTCCTGTATGCAGATTTTGCTACTTCACTTTGAAGCTGCGTTTGAAAACCTAGGATCTGGCCTGGCAATTCCTGTAGCAGCAGAATCATTCAATCCACTTGAAAGACTTTATCCTGATTTTTAATGACTAAAAATGTGTTCTATACTGTTGTGCCCATAGAATTGAGGGGTTGGGGCAGGGGAGAAGGGAAAACTATCTTGTCTGTACCATAAACGTCTTTCATAAAAACAAATGCTTGAGAAGACTAATAATGCTTCACATGCTTTGATCTTCTTGATTCCTTTGTGCAGCTCTGCTCTTTTAATTCAACGTTTTTATCTTTAATGTGTAATAAACAACATAGGACTTTAATCCATAGCCTACAGCAGTTTTATTCTAAGAATAATAGATTGCAGATAATGAGTACTGCATGTATTTTATCTTAGTCTGTGCCATCCTTTTCTTCCTTTGGTGCAGGAAGCACATCCTTTTCTTAGTACCGTTTCATACGTTCAGAAGGCAAGGTTGCTTGTGCCATAGCTTTGGACTGGGTCTTTCACCTGAGGTGCTCTGAGTTCTGCCGCTAGTTTTCTAGGTGATCCTGAATATTTGTGCTGCTTCTCACCTGATTCCGGAAAGGGAATAAGGAGCCTTACTTGGCCTGTATGGCTCTCTGAGGTCCCTAGATTAATAGCTGAATAAAATAGGTAAGCATAAATGTCCTGTGATTTAACTGAGATGCTGAACTTTCTTATGGTTCTCTGGGTATGATGTTTGAAGCTGGACTTATGTGCTTTTGAGAATTAAGAAAAAAACCCTACTTCTAATTGTTTGTCACTTCTGAGCAGTAATGGGTGCCTTGCTGCAAAGAACTGAACAGATTGTTTTTAAGTAATTTTTTTTTCTCCCTGACTTTCATTCTGTGTTATAACTTGAGCACCTTTTTCTTCTTTTGACCCCCCCCAAAATCAGATCGTTAATCATTTCCGGTTTAATTGGTCACTTTATTTTGATTGCGGGGATCTAAGGCGGGGATTTAGAAATCTTCGTGTTTGTAATTTGTTGGCCGGTTGAATACCTGGTTCTGTAATATTTGAAACTTTATGCTTCGGCCTCTAATCTCCACCCCGCTGAAATCCAGATAAGGCAGCCTGACTACTTGTAAGCTGTAAGGGGTTAGAGGCACTTTATTTTTGTCCGGTTGATGTTATAGTGGTAGGCTTTTCTCTCAGACTATTTCTTTTTGACTGCCTTTGGTAATAGTTCCAGAATTGAATTAAGGTAAAGCAAGCTAACCTACTCTTTTCTTTTTTTTTTTTTTTTTTTTAATGAAGGAGGTAAGCTAATCTGAATCAAGCATCGTTTTCCTCCCCTTCCACTTCTTTTCCTTCTGTTCAACCATGATTTCATGGTACTTCTGGCACTTCTTGTTTAGATCTTGCTGTGAGAGCTGACTCTGTTATAGCTGTAGATGCAGTTCTTCTGAAGACTAGAGAATGACTGGGTTATATGTAGGGAAGGATGCATTTGCTTAAGGAGACAGCTTAAGAATTTTTCAGGGTAAATATTCTGATCCTAAACAAGTGTTGCTACAGGCCTACTATTGATCTTTCTCTTAGCTGGGGCTGGGAGCATTGCTAGAGGAGCTTCACTTCTGACCCATGGAATGGGAGTTTCACTTGTCAAGAGAAATTCTTCTGTATATTTGGTACCAGAAACATAGCGTATTCATTTATTTTTCCCTGTGTGGGTATTTGTTCCTTTTCATTTACTTTTGGAAGTCTTCCCTGGAGGACTGGGAAGGGACCTACACACTAAACTTATTTTAATATGCTGAGTTCTGTATGACTCGTGAGACTTGCTGCAGATATCCCTTGAGATGCATATTCAATTTTAAAGGTAGTGTAACAAAACTTTTTTTTTTTTTTAAGAGGCTGGAAGATGTAGTATTTTCTTTCTAGTATGAAGTACAACAAACATTATATTTACGTAGCGAATGCTTGTCTTTGTTTGTAGGAATTGTGTGTGAGGAAATAGTTCTTTCATTCAGCTTGGTGGACTAGAAGACTTTATAATTCTGAGGCCCGAGTTGATTAAAGGCCAAGTAAGTTTGGATGGCGTAACGTATATGATGGCAAACAGCAACATTCCTGCAAGTAATGCCTTTACGAAAATCTTGTGGTGCTTACAAAAATTAAAAATGTATTTAAATGTCCATAGTAAGTAAAGCTCTAAAGATATGAAGCTGAAACTTAACATATTATTGGAGAATTAAAACTACCCCTGTAACCTTAACTTACTTACCTATGTATATGCATAGTAGCATACTTTTGGGAAAAGACTTTATAGTTCACTGCGTGAAGCTGTAACTATTCATTTCTACATCCAGCTGTCTGAAGTGAAGGAACGTGTGATGTGGGAGACTTGTGACAACTGTAGAAAAGACCCTATTGACAGAATTGGAGGGCTTTTAATCTTACATGAGATAAACATCTCTTCTTAAATTGCTAAACTATTTCGTGAATCTGAAAGTTTTATTTGACCTAAATGTTGCTCTGAGGGCAACCTTCTGTTATAACTGGATGCTTCAGAATATTTCCATCCTATGCTTAGAACTAACAGTGATGCAAGTTATATCAAGAGTGCAGATTAAGCAGTTGATAACCAGAATTACTTAAATACAAATCACATGAGCTTGTTTGAAAGATATCTTCCGGCAATTTTATGTATATTGAACGTGACAGGGAGTTTGTAAATGAAGAAGCTGTTGCAGAGCTACCTGAATCCATTCCCAGAGAACAGGGCTGTGCTGCTCATGCTAAGCAAGTCATTTCCACTAAAACTCTGATAGGAGAGAGATTAAAAAAAAAAAAAAAGGGGGGGGGGGGTAGGTGGGAGAGGCGTCCAGATTTGAGGTCACTGATATAATTTGTGGGACGTTAGTATTTTGTACTGGCAACTGAGATTGGCAAGGCAATGTTTGAGTTTTATGCGGTGTTCTTTAAAAACCTGGCAAACAGCACCTGCCTGCCTACGTGGAGATTACCATCCATCCTGCTGGATTCCTTTTGTTTGAATCTCTGTAACCAACATCAGTCAGGGAGACTATTAAATGGTGCGTAGCCGCTCATTTATTCAGCGATCCCAATCTTGACGAGTGAGAGAAAATGTTTTTGGAGCGTCTTTAATATGTACTCTAGCTAATTCTCACGCTTCTCATCTGAGTGCTTAATTGCTCGTGTGAAGCATTTTTGCCAGTTTAACTTCTATATTGAAAAAATAAAATGGGAAGAGGGAATGAGGAATTGAAACTTGTAGAAGAGGCCTGTATGCAAAGAAAGCAATTTCTGCTATTTCTATGAATACAGGAAAACTGTTCTGAATTGTGTTTTCTCATGCTTGACAAAAGAACCTCAGTTTTGAGAGGCTGTATTTTGCTCAAAAAAGGTAGCTTTTGCACCTTCTCCAGTGAAAGACCGACCCGTTTTAATACGGGTGAAACTTGTATAAAAGTTATCTGCATCCTTATTTTTGGAAACAGCTAAAGGTTTTTAAAGATATTTTTGATTTCAGGCAGATTCATAGCACTTCTGTAGAAATAGTTGTTGATCAAATTATAAGCATTCTGGGGAAGAAGTTGGGAAATTAATTGCTTTATGTTAGAGGGTTGAGTATTTCCTAATAAAATATTTATATATATATATATATATAAATGAAATATCTCATTACTTGTATAATTCCAAAAGTAAGCATTGGGCATCCTATAGAAAATGAAGTCACAAAGTGTTCTAGTTCATGTATTGGCGTCACTTCATTTAAAAATTGGCCGGTTGCACTCGTTAAAATGTGTAGGTGGCCACAATAGTCCAGGACAGGAAGTGAACTCAAACTCATTCAAGTAAAACTTTCCTTGTTTCAAACGTAGTTATCTGAAACTGGAACGAAGTCACAACACAAGGACTAATGCTGTTCGTGCTCACTGGAACATGCCATGAGATACTTTAATAAGCTACAGCCCTAATCGCTAGTGTTTTATCTCATCAGAGTGGTATCACCTTAAGATGAGCGTTTCCTAATTCCCTGCCGAGAAGGTGGTTTGTGCTAGTTTAGAGGTAGGAATATGGATAACTGACTCCCTAAGTATTCTGAACTATTCCCTTCCCTGATTTACCTTTTTTGTGGCTGAAACAAGGACATCTTTAGGCATTTTCTGCATCCGGAACTTTCTTCTTGCTCTGATGAGCATGTAGAAGAATATAGGTAGAAATGTGCAAATTTGTGGAGCAGCTGAAGGAAGACCTGCTTTGTTGCACATATGCTCAAGTCCCTATTAAGGCTTTTTTGAAAAGGAAAAGAAAATGAAAGGGGAAGTCGAGCCACTGGAAATAATGCCCTAGGACTATATTTAGTAAAGGATTTTTCTGGCTATATGGCAGTGGTAGAGTTAAATGCTTCCTGTGGCCAAGAAGGCCACGAGTTGATTATGAATGAGTGTCAGTGAAAGGAAATACCTAGGACAGCTGTTTTTCTGTTTATTAAACTAGATACCTTTCCTAAGTCTTGAAATAGAATGACCCAGAAATTATATATTCGATAATAAACCTGTTATGTAGTAACTTATTCAGGCACAAGATGGCTGATCATTCTATTTTTAAACTACCTCTAGGCTTACATAGGAAGTGTTAAGCTTTAAGCATTAAAGCTGGTAATATTGAAGACGAGGCCCCTGTAATAAATGCTTATCCTAATGGCTCTGATGATAGTCTGACTTGGAAGATCGTGAGCGCAGGAACGTTTAATTCCTCAGGGTGGCTTGATTAATAATGCGTACAGCAAAAGCTTAGATTTTTATTTAGACACGATCTTAACTGCAGAAACAACCGTAGGTTTGCATAGTGGCCCATGACAGCCCGTCAAGTGTCTTGATTATTCTGTGCTTCTGTTTTCACACGCAACGTGGCTTTCGTGACTCCCTAGTGAAAAGTGTTTGTCGTGCCATAACACAAAGGTTGGTGAGCAGAAATGGTTAATGAGGAGGAAATTAGTAGAATCCAATGTGAATCTGATTACAAAAGCAGATTTAGTAGTACAGTTTGGACTCTGATTCGGTTTATTCAATGTGGAGATGCACATTTTGAAATTAAAGCATGTATATATAATGCTAGTGGCGCTCTGTCCAAACGATTGGTTTCCGTTTCATATCTGAGAATTAAAGACCAATTTTCCTCTTGATTTCTCACCCTGCTGCGTAGATCGTGTCAGGATCTAATTTAGACTATATTAGTATAAATTTACATTCGGCTGTGTGATGCAAAAGCAGGCACGTGGCTATTGTCAAATTGTGGCATAGGCCAGAGCTTCAATAAAGTTTGGCATGTGTTGCAGCTGGATGGATTTGCACGTGGCTGGATTTGCTTTTTGGGCGTCGGCAACAGGTGGTGGTGGTGAAATGCCATATATGACTTATTCTACTCTGCTCTTTGTGCATCTTCACTTACAAATGTGTTCAATCATAGACCAGAAGTCTTGTTCTTCTGATACTTTGTTGCATCTTTTGTTTAAAAGTGTGGTAATTTGAAGCTTAATGATTAGGCTGAGGTTTTTGTATAATCATTCTAATTAGTGTCTGCACACCATGCCTTTAATGAACACACACTTCTGTTTATAATTTTGATTTTTTTAGGGGGTACCATTTGAATAATCGGGTGTTAAATGTACTGATGTTGCTTGTAGCAAGAAGATGGAAAAGTTTTAAAGATATCTTAATACCTGCGTTTGTCTGAAGGCTCACCGACTCGTTCACTTCAGGCCTGTTAATTTGTTTGATCTTGTGCGTGCTTTTATCGTACCTTTCAGAGACATAGAGAATAGTCTGTCACATCAAAAATCGTGGTGACAGTCCAAAAATATCCCTGCAGCCAGCTGTTTGCGGTGCTCAAGACGATTTATGTTTTGTTTTGGCTTCAGTGAGTGAGGTCTGTAGCCTGTACCCACAGTTATACAGGTATCGGTCCACAGGCTTTGACCCGCCTCGTGATTCCACCTCACTGAGCAGATAAGTTCATAGAAAGGTTATCTTGAGCTTTTACGTTTATATTTTCTTTAACGTCTGCCTAGCAGATGATGGGGATGTGTGGAAACGGGAGGGAGGGCTGCAGAGTTCCTATTATGTCTGAGGCTCTAAGAAATCACTGCCTACCACGTGGAGTGGTTTTTCATGCCTTGCTCCACTTTAGGCACCTATCTCAAGATAAAGGGTTTAACTGCAATGCTGGATTTCTCCCCCTTAATTTGAGGTAAGAATTGAATATTGCAGTATGAAGGTTGCCCCAAGCTTTTGAAAAATCTTACATAGTGTTTGAGAGAGGGTGCGTCTTCGTGACCCAAGTATGAGGCCTGTGATTTCAGCAAGATTAAGAGTCGCGCTTTCTGTTACTGGTAACGCTAGCTTCACTTCAGCTTTGAGAAAACCCTTCAGCGAAGGTACGATGGTGGAGGAGTTCTTGGACGCTATTACGTACTCTCTGTTCTGTGTGGGAATTTTGGCAGCGGGCTGTGCCACATACTAACTAACTGTGCCTTTCTCGTGACTGGACCCTCCTCTTGCTCATTCCTTCCTCTTCTCTGTTTTAAAAGTTCTAATTTCTTCAGAGAACTTCTTCTAACGGTGTTTGGGAAGTCCTTTGACATCAAAGCATAGGTTACTGCTGGTCGAGCTTGCATTGGATTCTGCCGTTCAAATGCAAGGGGTTCTTCACAAGACTGGAGAATTTTCATAAGTTTTCGTCAGAGTTCTCCAGCAGACTTCTGGAAAAGCACCAAATTGTTTTTCCATTGCACCGTAGCACTGCTGACTGGTTTATTTTCATTCTGAAAACATATTGAATTGCTGGAAACATCTTTGGCAGTAATTCCTCCTTATTCTAAATAGGTATCTATCCAGGTCACGTTATTAAATGGAACTGCTATTTGTATTGAAGTATTTTTGTTAAGCTAAGTTCTTTGTAAACATAGTGAGAAGTGGTCCTTGAGATCACACGTCTATCCTAAAATGATATCAGTATTCTTAGATTCAGAATTGGTTGCTTTGTAAGGCTATGGCAAAAAGGTTGAGAACTAAACAGATGGGAATTAATTTTCTTATTCTCGCCTGAAAAGATACATTTCTTATGGGCCTGTTGTTGTTGATTAGCGCAAGCAGAGGAGTAATGTTCACGACACTTTGTGAAGAGATACCAGTTTCCTACCTGGAACCTTACAAAGCAGTTGCTTGTGTGTAAGGAGTGTTGATGAAAGGCTCAAGATGCTATGGTCACGTCTGCCTCGGCGGTGCTGCTTTTTGCAGGTCTGGGCCATCAGGAGCACCTGCAGCGCGAGGCATTCTACAGCGCCCTACGTATCTGTTCCTGACCTTAGCCGTGATTATTATTGTTGTTATTATTATTTTTTTTTTGGTAACAGAATCCTGTGTACTAAGTAATTTTGATTCTGCGCTTTCTCTGCTGCCTACCCCTTATTTTTGGAAAGTTAGGAAAGAGAATTACATGCATTTTTTTTAGGTATAAATCTCAAGCTGTTCTACAAGCAAGTTATCTCCAGACTCCTGCTAAGACCTGTTTTGTAAAGAAGGGTTAAGTAAACTTGGTGCTTGATGGTCCTTAATGATGGTGCTTGATGGTGCTTCTCTGGGTGGGTTTTTTGAGTGGAATAGATCTTTTCCTCCCGTAGTACTGGTGAAGCTGGTAGCTGGGGCCTGAAAACTAACAATCTACTGACTTTATTCATGCACTTTAGAAGGACATCGGCATATGGGGGAGCAAATGTTCATGAGCTATAACATTTTCATCATTTTATGCATAAATCCCCTTTATTGTCAGTTAAATGTCTAGGTTTTATTTGGTATGGTTAATAAGCAGTTGGTTCCTGTGTTAGCCACAAATCAAACATAGTCTGTGTACAGTGGTGAAATAGTTTCATTCCAGAGGAAAAGTAATTTGATGTTCTCTTAACATCTGGAACATACTATATTTATCAAATTGTTTGTACAGTTAAGGTTTTATATCAGGCTTTAGTAGATATTTTAATCATGGTGGTTCTTAGCTTGAGCCTATTTGTCAGATCGGGAAGTCTTGCTTCCAACTTGAAGAAATATGTATGAGACTTCAACAGCCATGCTAGAAATAGGCGTTGGACCTAATATTTTTCTTGGATAGTTTTGTGTGTGTGTTTTTGTTTTTATTTTTGTTTTTTTTGTTGTGATAATTCTACAAAGCACGTCTTCCTTTGCTTCATCTGAGGAGCAAGGGCGAGAATATAATTATGGGAATCATCTTAATTTTCATTCTCTGGCTTTATACACTTGGCATTTGAAGGCTGTGATGCTTTTCCATAGTGTGTTCTGTAGCCTTGACTTCATATTGAAATTCACTGTTATCTCTTTCACAGTATTTGATTCTGAAACTTGAAAGACCAGCCATAGTCCAGAGTATCACATTTGGCAAATATGAGAAAACTCATGTCTGCAATTTAAAGAAGTTTAAAGTCTTTGGTGGGATGAATGAAGAAAACATGACAGATCTCTTATCCAGGTAAGATGTGATTTCATCAGCTATGGTAATCATAAAGGCTGGACCAAAACGCTCTTCCCCTTCACTCCCAAGCAGACACTTGGCTAACAGTATAATAGAGCTGTGGTTGTGAGCCTGCAATTAGCTGCCCTTGTGTTTATGGTCAGGTCAGAGCAGCAATCCCAACACTCGCTCCGAGAAGCCTTCCTTGTCTTGTTATAACCACAGAGGATTTGTGGAGGGCGAAGTCTTGGAGATATGGAAGAGCTGAGAGCGAGGTGCAACACATCTGGACTGTAATTCCTTTCTTCCGCATGCTTGAGGCACAGTAGGAATAGTTCCCTAGTGGGGGTAACTTAAAGTAGCTTTTAAAAGCACCAGTAGCCTGCGTGTGTGAAGAATCTCATTGCAGCTGTAAAGATCTGAACTAGTCAGCTGCTCTGCTTTCCTTCAAAGATATGAATAAATCTAATGAGCAAATAGAAAATGTGTTTTCCTTCGTTCAGTTTCATTTGGTAGTCGTATTGATAGGAACTAATGAAAGAGGCTTTTGGCTATTCATGCCTTATCCAGTGCTTCTGAGTAATGTAAATTTGCAAAGGCCTTTTTAAGGAGCCTTCTGCTTCAGAAAGGGAAGTGATATATAAATATCTATGAGTGCAAGAGAAATAGGTAGCAGGAGGCAGTCTACTTTTGGGGGCTTACAGAGGGAGGGTCCACGCTCCATATATTGGTGTACCTCAACTTTAGTCAAGTAGAATAGCCACGGAGAAACATGGGAAGTTCTTCATGTCACAGGTATCCTTCAAGACAACATAGAAATCAGTTGCAACCCCTCCTGCCCTCCCCCTTTGGATAGACCAGTCTTGCAGTTTGACGTTATTGCTACTAGAATTGGGGGGGGAAGAGATTTTAGAAGTATAGTAGTTAGTGATATTTAATGTCCTTTCACTTATACCAAAGTTAAGTAAAACCTTCATTTTGGGCCCTCCAGTTGGGTATGTCTTCAATAAAAGACTTAAAATTTTTAATTAAAAAAAAAGTCCGTTATTTAGTATAAGTTACAGTATTACTCAAATGTCCAAGGACTATGTCAGTGTGATAATTCTGTGAGCTGCTCTGTCTTTGTCTTTAAAAAGGAAAAGTGAGATTCAGACGGCTAGCTTGCCTCTGAAGCTGCTTACAGGGTTACTAGCACAGGCAAGCGCTGATCTCCTGCCATCAGTTCCCTCCTGAAACCACTAGCCAGTGCTGCCTCTCAGGGAGATAAGATGGTGGATAGCAGTCCAGGCTTTGGTCCAGCATGCATACTTATGATTCATAGTAATATGAAACAAGCATCGCATTTCAGGCATGACCTAGATTGCGTTTATTAGCTAGTCCTAAAATACAAGGTAAGATTTAGTAACCTTATTTATTTTTTCCCACAGTGGCTTAAAGAATGATTATAACAAAGAAACATTCACCTTGAAGCATAAAATTGATGAACAGATGTTCCCCTGTCGATTCATTAAGATAGGTAAATGCATTTTTTCAGCATTCTGAGTAGAAAATAATCTCTTCTTATACTTGTGCCAGACTTGGCACTTGTGACTTCATTGTACTCAGGCAAAGTATCCAAAATAGCTGTTCCATTTTATGATCTTTTAGGCTGGTTAGATTGGAACACAGTGAAGTCCTGTTACTAAGAAATAATAGCTTAATAATTTAAATCCTAGGGACTGAAAGCAAAATACAGTAATTTTCAGAAATGCAGTTGTTGAGCCAACTAATTGCTGGAGAAGCTGCTTATCGTCCTGCTATAAATCACTGTACGGAGCTTTAAAAAAAGTCATTAAGTTAAATACTGGTAGAAGTTTCAGCGCTGACAGCCCTAGATTTTGAAAAAAGGCTACTTTCTGTTCTTAAACGTGCTTGCAACATGTATAGCAACAGCAGAAACCTTCCTTGTTCTCTTCCTGCTATTCTAATCCTTGTCTCAACCCTGGCTATAGATGACATCCAGGAGCAAAGAAAAATTATGTCCCATGATGTCTAGTCTTGTTTCTCTGGTAAAGCTTTCTAGTGGAGGTGCTAATGAAGGCCGGTTACTGTGACTTGTGATGGGAGCGGGAGTAGAGCTTCCTAGTTCTCTTCCTAGCCAGAGCGAACCAATGTCTTGCGTTAGCCATTAATGATACTGTTTGGATTTAATCCAAGAATTTAGGACCTTTTATCTTTATATAGCTGAGTAATTCTATCCTTTCCTTTCTACCTGCTGAGATAGTTAAAGAGTTACTGGTTTTACAATAACTGTTTAAAGTTTAAAAAACAAAACTAAAAATCCAAGGAGGTAGTTGCTTTAAATTAAAAAAAAAAAAACTATTGCATGAGTGTGTATGTGTCTTTTTTAATTAAACATTTATGTAAATAATCTGTGATCTCAAAAAAAAAAAAAAAAAAAAAAAAAAAGGGGGGAGTTTTTTTAAAAAAAAAAAAAAAAAAAGAGAGAGAGAGAGGTGAGTCCATTGACTAATTCGGAGTAATTTAGGAGTGTTTTGAAGTGCTGGTAACTCCTTTGCCAGGATTTGGATGATAGTGGCAGTTTGGGGGCTCCCCTTGGAACCCTTTCATATTGCTCCAGTGTTGTCTTCACAGCTTTCTGAATCACTGCTTGTGTTTGCCTTAGGAAAAGAAAGTTTGAGTCTAGGAATCAAGTAATCGCTTGTATGTCATATACAGTGTTCTTTCCTATTCTTACAGAAGGGGAGAAATCAGTTGTGTGTGTGTGTGTGCGTGCGTGTAGTTTTGTTTTTCCCCTCTACTTCCTTTAGAAGCATCTGTGACCCGATCTTTAGGACCCGAGAAGGAGTAGAGGAATAGTTAAAGGCTGTCTACTTCAAGAAATCTAGTTTTTTCATCATTATTTTTTTTACTAAAGTATTTTGAAGCTTCTTGTGTTAGGTTTTGGGGATGTTATTTTTTCGTGATTAATAAGCGACAAATAGTTCTTGGGTGGGTGAAGGTATGAGAAGAAAGATGATTAGTTTCAGCTATGAACGTGTAACTTGTAACCCTGTAAAATGTGTTATTTTGCTCGGATGTTATGAAACTTAGCAATATATTTAAACCTGTTAGGCAAGTGAAATGCTCGTTAATGCCTCCTAATAAGATTTTTTTTCTCAGACTTGATATGAGTAGTGTAAATTCTGAAGTGATACGGCTTTTTTACTGGGATGAGTTCCTCACGTAACAACAATTATTTGGCATTATGCACAATAATATCGGATTTGTATTTAAATGTCACTTGTTCACTAATGACAATTTGAGATAAGTTTTGCTTTTTAACTATGGTTATAGTCTTTCATTTCTTGCAGCTGTCTTCTATGATGAAGTTCCAATGCTAGAAGGACAATTATTGCGATGATCTCTGAGCAAAATCTATTAAAATTTCTAGCTGATTGCTAGCATCATTTTGTTTATAAAAGTTGTCTCTCTAGTATGAAACAACTGTAAAATGAAGTTAGGAAATTCTGTTATTTTTTGGATTCACAGCTTGACTGTGTTTTCAGTTTGTTAAAAATTTCCAAGCCGCTAGCCAAAGTAACTCAAAATTTGAAATGCAGTGCTGTGTTTCTTGCAACGCTGCCAGTCGACGTTAGGCTGAAATCTGCCCTTTTGGACTCCGAGAGACTGACACCACAGGAGTTGCTGTTATCAGGGAGGTTTATGTGTTTGGTGAAGACATTATTTAGTTCTACAGCTGCTTGCATCAGGCATTTGCTTTATAACTGTGTAGATAAGCACACTCATCTATATACTATAGTTAATGGTAGACCAAGAAGATTTACACCGGGGTGGGACGGGGCAGGACGGGACTTTCGAAAACTTCAATTGCCTGGATATTAAATGACGTTTCAGACTTGTAGGAAGCAGAAAAACTTAAGTTACTTCTCCTATTCTCTTTTGCCAAGAAGAGATTTGCACTTACAGTTAGTTCAACTTCCGTTCCTTAGGACCGAGATGCCCAGTTGTGCAGGCTTTTGACCTACTTGACGAGTAATTCTGATGTTTCATCTAGCACCTCAATAAAGAACTAGGGGAGGAGGAGAAGATATTGAGCTGGACATGATATTGAAGAGTAATCTTTTTCATGTCTGTCAGCTCCGTTTCTAACTCTTTGTTTTGTAGTTACTCAATTTTTTTTTTTTTTAAGCTGTGTCCTTGAAAGCAGAAGGTATTTTAAAGCGGGATTGTCATGAAAACACTTGAAGAAATGCCTGGTGTAATTCTCGTGCCGGTCTGTTACTAGCATGGGAGTTACTAACTAGGCTTCATGAGCCTTAAGCTTTGATATGATAGCAACGAGCAATACTTTCTTTATAGGCATTTCCTATGTAAGTGTGTTGACTACCTCTGTACCTACTTTTGCCAAACGCGTTGTGTGGCTGTGTAACGTCTGTAGGTAAGGGACGCAGAAATTAGGTTCAGATGTATATGAAATGATTTCACACTGCGTTTAATGCCTCTATTGCTGTCTTCTGTTGTGTACAAAGTTACAATCCGTTTCTAGGCTTAGCCTACAGTTGATATTGAAAAGTATGACCTAAAATCATCCTTGCGTGGATAAAGAAGTATTTAAGTGACCTAAATACCTTCTGATCCTGTAAAAGGGATATTGATTTCCTTTCTGCTGGGCATCTCTCACTGTGGAGCAGCAATTCAGCTGGTCTGTACAGTTGTTTGCATTTCAGGATGGATTACTGTAGTACATGCAGCAAAAAAAAAAAAAATATGCTGAGATGGTTTATGTTAAACTGTTTAGAAATACTGTAGCTTTAGAGTTTGGATTCAGTGCTTTGAGCGTTGCATCTTTCTACCTCAAAGGTATGTGGGGGGAAAAAATATAACAAAGAGGGGACAGAAAAAGGCATAGCCTCTGCAGCCACAGTATGTTGTAGAACGGGGTGTTGATTTATTTTTGTTTGTTTTGGGGTTACTTTTGTTTGAGGGGGATATTTCTCAACTTTGGTAGGTCTGTGTATACCTAGAAGGCAGTGTGAAAACACCAGTTTGTGGAAGAGGGGGAAAGAAACATAACCAGCCGTTTGGAGATGTGAGAAAAGAAATGGAGTCACGCACAGGAGGACTCATTTCCTCGCCCAGTGCTCTTGACTTACATGAAAAGAAAAACTACCTTCCCGCGTTGCAGAAAGAAGTGATGCTAGGAATATTGCTACTTCCTTGCAGTACTTTGTGTGTTTTCATATTTCAGGTCTAAATTAGATTGTTGCTGCTCTAAAAAGGAGTTTTATCTAAAGCGCTAAGCGCACCTGTGGAGGCTTTCAAACGAAGAGGGCAGAGGCTGCGAAGGGAAGGATGAGAGACTTCTCTTTCGTGTTGCCTGGGAGTCTGTGAAGAGGTTCAAAAATAGGGATTTGTTGCAGTAAAAAGCTTGACAAAATATTTGCTAAGGGGCTAGAAGTTGTGTCACTGTTTCAATGTTTGTGCTTTGTTTCTTTTCCTCCTCTTTTGGAGTAGCTTAAAAAGAGCAGACTCGGTTTTCTTTGCCTATGCAGCACTGGAGAAACGCTCGTGTTCCCTGTACAAGTTAACTCTTGTTCTTAAAGTAGGTGCTTGTACTGTGGAAATCTTGATGTTAAAATCGCCATTTCTGATTCTCGGTTTCTTTCTTATGAACAAGACTGGAAGTTCAGTGAGCTAATGGGGCAGGAGAAAGGGCTTAACAAGTTGGTGGCTTTGGGCTTTGTGTTTCTGTGGTGATGGCTACACGGAATTCTTATGCCCCTTTAGGTCTGTAGTTGGCCACCAGAATAAATGAATGGACCGTTACATTTTTCCAGGGGAATTTGGTACAAGTTCTGAGACTCTGCTTGAAAAGAAATAGAGGTGAAGACCTTTATTTATTTATTTATTTATTTTTTTTTCTGGAACAAGGTGGTTAATACTTGGGTTTGGTTTTCACCGTGGTAAATCCCACACTATGAAACTAGCGTCAAGTTCCCAGTCATGGAACTTATGGTCTTAGTCCGTGTTAGGTTTGTCTGTGGGCTTGGTTTGGTGCCTCGGTGTGAGAAGCTGATGAATAGGCTTGGATTCTTTGCAGCTGAGCAAATAATAAATTAAACTTGAGTTTGGTCTTGGTCTGCTTGCCTCAGACCTGAGGACAAATCAAAGGTGCAGTATTTTGTCAGTCTGCCACCTTGGTAGGTGGGATGCCCTGGACTGTTCACTAGCTCTAGCATTTGGCACTTTTGCTGTATTCCAAGGACCAGGAGAAAGCAGTCCAATGTAGCTGCTGTCTCTGTTCACTGAGCGTAATATTGTTACATGCAGAACATACATCAATCACTTCATCAGTTCCCAAAGTCGCTCTGTTAACAATTTTAAACTTATCTATACACTTGGATTTATAAGAATGTTTTATGGTATTAAGGTAGCATATTGGCAGTGCCGACCTTATTCAGAAGGCATAACTCAGAGAGCAAGAAAGACGTTTCTTGGGCAGGTTATATACGATGTGGCTGAAAGACCGGTGACTCTTTACTAGTTCGCTGTTCTCCCGTCTCCATGAGCATGCATCTGCTATGAATAGCTCTAAAAGCTTCTCATCTTGAATACTGAACAATCGAGGAATTACAAACTGTTTGAATGGGATGATTTGAGAGCTTATGCCAGCCACATTAAAAAAAATAGTTCTAAAAATAATTCACTTTGCTTTAGAACTGGAGTAGAGAGACAGAAAGAGTTTTCCGTAGATCTAGATGAGCATTTTTCTAATGTATGTGGTACCTACTTATGCACATTAAAATCGGTTAAGGATCACACATTCACATTCTCTTTGGATCTTTCCTAAAAGATCTGTTCTCCTCATGGCCGTTGTTGGAAGTTGTCATAACAGTTTTCACCGATACCTTTGTAGAAAAACTCTCCCAAGTATCATGCATTTGAACATATGCTTTGTGCCCAAATGCACTGCAGAAAATAATTGATCTGGCTTAGTAAAATCTAAATATTTAGGAACCTTTAACAATGTACTGACAACTTTAAGATGAATTTTAGTTTTTAATCCTCAAAGAGCAGGTCAGAAAACCTTAGTTTGGCAAGCTGGTAATCTAAGTGGTATTTCATAGTGGTTCGAAAGACAGCTAACAATTTATCTATGGCAAGAACAGTTTGTCTGTGGAAGAGGACTTAGGGGGCTCTCTGTGGCTGCTGTTGGCAACTCCTGATTCATCTCTAACGCTGACTGCCTTTCTCAGTTTACCCGTTACAGTCAAAAAGGGATTGAAAGTAGTGTAAATCAAATGGTTTCATTTCAGGTACTGTTTAAGAAGGAGTTAAGAGTTTACATGTAAACTTTCTGGGGGCTGGAATTGCTCTGAGAAGCAAAAACAACTTTTAATCTACAGATTTATCAACAGATTAATGCAGGATCATAGACGTTAACAGAATAAAGGAGAAGCCTTAGAGAGGCTGCAGTGTGCTTCACAGATCTCTTAAGATATTGAGTATGTTTGTTCTGATATGTAGATAAAACAATACTAGCCAAAACAGCTGCACGAATTTTGAGTTATACAAATTAGAAGGGCTTTTGAAACGGGAAGCTGATAGTTTTCCCTCCCACCCTCCTTTCCTCCTCCACAACTCGAAGTTGTTAATTTTGTCAGATTTAAAATACCCGAACTTCTTGTCTTCACCATTAGAGGAAAATAATTGTTACTGAAAAATGTTGAAATAACTGCCCTATGAGGAGCAAATCTGTGTCCAGGATGCTCACGTGACTCCCATCCATGTCAAAGCTTGTTGCCTCTGCTGAGCTGTTTTAGATGATAGTATTTTCGCTCTTATATATGCAAGCTTCTGCTCTGTAAAGATCTGCTATGTTAATGTTTCCTTAGTGCAGATTGCTTTAAATGACAGATCTAAAAAGACACATTTTGTAATTTTCCTAAGCTCACTAAACAAACTAGAACATATATGAGATCAAAAATTTAATTTAACCTTCAAAAGCATTCTGTTGAAATAGTGCTATGTATAGCCTTATAAGACTAATGCAATGGTTATTTGATATTATGCATCTTTTTCTCCTTTTCCTTTCTTCTCCAGTTCCACTCTTATCCTGGGGACCTAGCTTCAATTTTAGTATCTGGTATGTTGAACTTAATGGCATTGATGATCCGGATGTGGTCCAACCATGCCTCAACTGGTACAGCAAGGTAGGCCTGCTTTTTAGGTGCCTGTTTGTTGGAAGATGCATAGCCCCAAAATCTCGTGGAACTTCTCTTTCTGGAATTACGTGACCTTTTCATTCCTTGAACATCAGCTGTTAAAACAACAAACACATAAAACTCAAAACCACATTGCTGACTTTTAATCTTTGAGTTGTATCTGCAGGTTCTGTAAAAACTCCTAAGCAGACATCACAAGGAAAGAACTTACCAGTAAGAAGGGAACACTGAGTCACAGGCGACAAAGTTATAAAGTAAAATATGTATTGGAAAGGAAATCCGTCTAAGCTGAGACTTAACTTTTGTTTCTACTTCTTCATGCCTTTTAATTAGTAGGCTTTTTTCTACCATACAAATCCTACTGCAGAGCTATATGTGAACCTAGATCTTTCTGGGTTATGTATGCTGTTTGTTACAGGGGGTAAAAAGGACCTTTAGCCTCTCATTTAAAGAGAGCCTGCGTTGATGTCCTACTTGCTGCAGCTCTTGTGCTTCTGATATTTCTGTCTTACTATCTTTCTGCTGAATATTCGGCAGCAGAGGAGGACGCTGACGCTCCTAGACTGTGAGAAGGTTTATGCCATCTGTCACTTTAGACAGACAGTTCGAAGGGTTCTAAATATTATTTGTAGAAACTATTTGTTGGGTGCAACGGATCTCCCTCCTGTGGGAGAGAAGTGCACGTTCACAACCCAAGTTAATTTTGTTGCTGGTCTTTACGCATAGTTCTTTTGGAACGATTCACGAGTTTCATGTTGCATTGCAGAGAAGAGACATCCTTCCCAGCTGAATAAGACTGAGTAGTGGAGCAGCATATCTCTGCTTACAGTAGGAAAAAGTCACAGTGGAATAAAGTCTTGGCATAGTAGCCCTGAGGCCTCACTCATCAGTTTATGATGCTACCAACGGCATTGAACTCCCTGTGGGGTAAAGAAGCCTTGTGGCTGTTCTGTTAAGCGCATACATGTTAGTACCAAGCTCACAGGTTTCCTTGTGGGGGACTGAAAAGCAGCAGTAATGGTCATAGTGGAAGTTGGCTGTAGCTACTTATTCTTTGATTAAAGAGGTATCAGTGTCCTTTAGTCTTCTGATTACAGATATCAGAGTCTGAAAAGTCCAAGCTGCTGATGGTTTTTGCAGTCTTAATTGTGAGACTGTTGGATTTATGTCTTGTCAGTCGGTCTTGTGCAAAGCTGAGTTCAAGGAGTGGAATTGGGACATTCTGTGCTCCTTCCTGCTGACTTTGCACATGGTGACGTTTCTGGCATTTTTTAAAAGCAATTGCTGCTGCTAGAAAGTTAGTTTTTTCAATCAAGAGCCATCTGATGATGATGGCAATGTCTGTCTTGTTTTGTCATATCCTGTAGAATCAACACTTCATGGTGCCAGCATTGTTCTTCTAAAGCTTGGAGCCCTAAAGCAGCTTGATCATAATTGTTTGGGCCCTTCAAGGAAAAGTTACCAAGTTTTTGATGATCAGTACATGTGTCGCTGATATGCTCCTCTCTCACAGCCTGACAGAGGCCACTGTTGCCAGAGCCATGTAGCTGGGTGAATCCTGACCTATATTTGGGGGGATGCAGAAAGGTTGATCTTAGTTTCTTGCAGTTCTTTTGAGATGGTATGGATGTTTTCATGCCTCCTTCTTGGAAGTCTCAAAGACCAGGAATTTTGAAACTAGGGAATGTGAGGGCTCTGGGGAGCCAGCGCATGTAAGCGCAGCCTTGACATACAGTTACTGGACTTCAAGCAGCTGCTTGCAGTAGGAGCGTATGCACGGCAGGTCCTTGCCATTTCAACTTAAACCAAGCCTAGCTTGCATCCAGTAATTTTTCTCTACTCCCTGAGACATCAGACAAGGAGGAGGTTATACACCAAGTGCTACTCCAAGTGCTTTGCCTGTAGTCTGCTCAGCTGCCCTTCCTTTCTGTGGTGTGGGCTTTAACCAAAAATCCCCTCCTTTTCCTTAAGGCAATGGGCTTGGGGTGTAACAGAACTTGAAATAGCAGGCACACTCTTTGGTTTCCTCTTGACCACTTCCCCCTTATTGTCCATTTGAGCCTATTTGTGTTACTACTGCCTCCTGAAAGCATTACTGCTTTGATTTTCCTGCAGTGTGGGAATGCTTCGTCAACTAAAAAGTGGCATTTGATCTATGGTTATCACTTTTTGGTTTTGCTAATCAACAGTAAAATATTTTTAATTCTGCTCCTACGTTTGATAGTGTTAATATTGTAGTCTTATGCTCTTGTTACGTTTTTGAACCAAAGTGATTATTTACAGCTTCAAATCAAAACCGTTCTTTGATTGTTGTCCTTCTAATCCTGCATGACAGCATGTAAAAGGGAGCCCTTTATTTACTTGTTTACACACCTTTTACCTAAAAATGTTTACGCTTACCACTGTAATACCACTAAAGCTGTCACTTGAATACAAATCTTTATATTGCATAAAGGGTGGTCAGTTTGCATCCAACAGGCAGTAGGTGTCTTATGTCAAGTCTGGATTTTGTCTCATGGCTAAACTAGAGGAGCTGAATGTGCAGAAGATGGTTATTACTGGTGTGCAGCCATCCTTTTGCTTGCTGTCCCTTTGAGCAATTAAGAATCTAATGTGGTTTTGGACTTGAGTGATGTAAGTGAACGTTTCTTTAAAGATGGTGTCTTGGGTATCTCTTTGAGAGAAAAAACATGAAGTTTTTCCAGTTGTGCTGTAAAGCTGTGTTTCTAGCTCTGGTATTCTGTTGTCACAGTTCTGCATTTTTTATCAGTACATGTCCTTGGCCTTTTTTGTGTGGGCTGGGAACGGATTTTCAAAAAATGCATAGCTCTGGCTCTTTGCAGCTGTGGAATACTGATGGATTAAGAACTAAAAATATTTCACGTGGCTGTGTTTCTCTTTAGCTATTTCAATTAATGAAATTTTGCTATTTAGTCATAATTTCAAGAGCACTAACTTGTGTTTACTGTTAGTGTCCATTCCCGGTTTTTGGAAAGGTTGTGTTCATTTATTAAAATATAAGCTTCACTTTCAGCAGTTGGCATCCATTTAAAAAGAAAACCTTTTCTTTTATCTGTAACTTGATGAGTCTTGTAGATGCTTAAGTTAGATTTTTTTATTTTTATTTTTTTTTAACTAGAGTACATGATGTATATTAAAATGGAAGTCAAGAGGAGACTTTTTTAATGCCTTAAAACATAGATACAGAGGTTCTGTTTCAAATAAAAGATTCTGAAGGTCCAAGTTACTTATGAACTTCAGAAAAATCCAAGTTCCTTACGGAAATTGTTCGCTTCTCTTAATATGCAGTGGATCATTTGATAGGATAACAGCGCGAGCTCTAGTTTTTATCCAGAGCAGCGTGTTCTTTTGTCAGGTTTCCGTGCCTTTATTTTTGATCCAGCTTGGGCTTCTCTAGCTTTTCTCACTCTTTGCTACAGTGGAGTTGGAGATGGACAACTTTGACTCTTCTGTAGCATGAAAGTGGGGTTCAACTTTAAGGCATGTGGAGATATTTTGTAGATAACATTTTGGCATGCATGCACACACTGTCACTGATTGGAGATCCTTGTGAGCTTCAGGATTTGTGACTAGCTGTACATTCTGCCTTTCCATTAAAGTAGCGATGGTCATTATGAGTATTTTCTATTCTAATGTTTTTTCTTCTGCTTCTAGAAAAGCTGCGACCTACTTACTCTTCTAAATTATTTTGTTATATAAGAGTCATACAATCAAATTATGTAACGCTGATAGAGAAGGCTTTTCCTGCTTCTGTATTTCATGTAGGCCTCAAACAGCAGGATCAGCCAGATGGGGAGAAAATAGTGGTTACTTTAGAGATCTGGGACACTGTGCAATCGCTTTCTGTATGTTTATTAAAATGGGCAATATCAAGTTGTATAATTTCTATACTGTTGGAAAGTGAATACTTGCATAGCTTCTAATTTCTTTCCTGTAGCATTCCTCTCTAAGCTCATGAGCAATTTATGTGCAGTAAGTATGAGAGAGCCTTTTTTTTTTTTTTTTTTTTTGTCTCCAGGAAGGTTCATGGGTAGTTCCCAGCAATGCTAGTAAAAGAAAAATCTACATGTCTCATAGGTTTTCTTGTGTTCCAGTAGTACCGTGAACAGGAAGCCATTCGTCTTTGCCTAAAGCATTTTCGTCAGCACAACTACACTGAAGCTTTTGAATCGCTGCAGAAGAAAACCAAGATTGCTCTGGAGCACCCTATGTTGACAGACCTGCATGACAAACTAGTACTGAAGGGAGACTTCGATGCTTGCGAAGAACTGATAGAAAAAGCTGTGAATGGTAAGAGAATCGGAGATGATCCGTTATCTTTGGGGGTCGGGGCAGAAGTTTAAGTGTTCACGTACATAGTAGTAGAATTGGCTAGTCCATATACACTGTAAGTAGCTACTTCATATATACTGTGCTGTCCTGTTGGCCTTTGGACTTGCGAGTATGCGCATGAGGAGAAATAAAAAAGTCAGTTATGAAATCTCTTATCACTGCTACTTTTGGAGCATCTCTTTCCCAAAAAAGGAGATGACAATATGGTGCCCTTAACAAAAGTGGATAAGGGTAAATTCTTCACTTAAGTGGCTAGCAAGCTGAGGGTGGGCCTAACGCTGTCAGAAGCATCACTAGTGATGAGAAGAGCAAGGGGAGCAGGGAAGTCTAGACCTTGTGTGGTCTCAGTAAATACCTATATCCCGATTTCTGGTTAGAGCTTGTTTTTACACCCGCTTAGTTGATATTTCAACAGAAGCAAGTTTTCTGTCGCATTTAAGAGAATGCTGCTTTTGCCTGTGGGGAAAATACTCTTTTGAGGATGGCTTACAGAGGGTGTCAGGGTGAATGAGGGTAGAGGCTTTCTTCGCTTTCAGAGCAGGATGCTGGCAGGCAATTTCACTGTAACTGCTGTTAAGTTTATTTGGAACGTTTCAACTGAAAAGCACTGCATGCGAGGAAGTCAAATCTTAACGTGAGGGAGATGCAGCCCCTTCTATTGATGGGAAGTATAAAAACACTTGAGCTATTCTACTGTGTGTCTTCTGAATCCTGTGTAGTGACTTTGGACCACAGATTTGATAAGAACAGAGACACTCTTGGCTCTGGGTGTAGTGCTTTTTGACAATTTGCAGTCGCACTTCATGGGAAGCTTGTACTGGCATAGGAAGAGAATCTTGTGTCTCTGATTTCAGTGGAGTTAGTGACTTAGTGGATAAGTTTAATGGATGCCTGGCACCAGAGCGTTGTATGTTTTATTATTACTATTTCTTATTCTGGGCTAGTCTGTCGCTTTTGTGATACCTTTTGCACAGATGCTAGCGTACCTGCTGGAGGACCTCAGCATGGTTTGTACCATTAAATTCGTAAGTGATTCCTAGGAAACGATAGAAGTGATAGCTTTAAAGTTATAGTTTGTCTTCCTTGAGAATCAGCATCTTTTTGTGAGGAAGCTGTTCAGCTGAGCCCTGCGTTAGGGAGTTTATTGCAGCAGGTCATCGAAGCCAGCGGTAAGTGTCTCCTTCCACACGCTTTGGCTCACGGTTTCTCAGCTATATAGGCAGAACAGCTTTCCTCCGCCCGGCGCTGACCTCCCTGAGCAGCTAGGAGTGTTTAGATTGAGCAATTGCCTGCATTCATCCTTGCACTACTGAACGCTGCCTGCCCTCCTGAGACAATGTAGTGTTGTTGGCTGAGAAGGGAGTGTAAACAGCTTCCTGCAGCGCAGGGGCATTTTGCAACTGGCAGCTTTCTCCTCCTGCAACTCTGGCTTGCCCTTAGGTTCAGGAGGGAGGAAGCAGCAGGGAGCTGTGGCTGATGATCAGTGTTGCTTCAGTGTTACTCAAAAGCCGGGAGCGGATGGCCCCACCAAATTGAGGCAGGATCTGCGTGCGGCTACTGCTGAGGGCCAGAGGGGTCTTATATGCTGATGATTGTGCTGATGCATCAGAGTGCTACCTTGGCTGTGGCTTAATCTGACAGTGCCTAGAGGCTGTCCTCTTTGCATTTCATTGCAAGTAATAGTACAAACTTTTTCTTGAATGGAATTTCACTACCATCAAGGAAGAGATCTAGTATATACCAAATTAATTCCCTCAAAAATAGCCTTTTTTCCTTAAGCAGAAATTAAATGAATGTATATGATCACGTTTTTTTAAGCTGCTACATGTTTTTTTCTTTACCTTTTAATATTAAACACACTGAGTTTATTCTATTCAGCTATTTTCTCCTGGGACTTCACTTGAGTTGAAGTGGTGGTTCTGTGCCTCCCCTGAAACTCTGCGCGTAGAGTTACTGTCTGCAGTGTTCAGCTCTTCCAGGTGTGGAAATACTGGCAGAGGACTGGCATGATAGCAAACCCTAGCTCTCGTGCTGTCTTAGCTAACAAGGCTATATTTCCTCCTTGTCAAATTTGAGGTGAATAATCTTGATTCCCCAGTTCCTGAAGTGTAATCACATCTCTTTTTGAAGACTGGAAAATTCAGAATCATTTAAGCAAACTAGAGGAGTACTGCACTTAGTGTTTTATCAGGCCTCCTTTTTTGTTTGGACAAATACAGAAGCAAATGTTTTTTGTAACCGTATATGGATAACTTCACTTGAAGACTTCTCTTTTACGTTTTGCCACTGCATCTGAGGGCCGAAATAATATGTATGAGCATGCTTATACTGTTTCCTTTTAATCCAGCACCTAGCTAGCCAAAGTTGAATGTGAGTGTATGCATCTTCCATTGCTCTGTTGCTTATCCTCAATGATTTTGCTTGCCTTTGAATGCATTAACCTTCCTTCTCTCACTCTGTCCTTCTGCAGTTCTATTTCTCATCTTCAGCTTTTGTACCCATTTAAAGCTCTATCACCTCCCAAAACCCTTCTGAGAGAAGTGCTATCTATCCTGAGGCACTGAGACTGTCTTTCATGTTTGCCTTAAATCGATAGACCCGTGGGCTTTTACTTCCTGGGTCAGTCCTGTCTTTACTCAGGACAGCGTGTTGCGTCGCCGGTCTGCTGCTGGCAGTGGAGCTTGTGCTGCTGTATGGTAAACCAGGTCAGGGCCGAGAGACCAAGAGCTGACTTGAAACTGGTTCCATCTAGCTGACTAGGATGGAGGAGAGGATAAGACAACCCGTTCTGGTCACCATGAAAGAACTGAAACTACAGCCTAAATAGTTTCGTCATAGCTGTACAAGAGGATCATAGAAAGTTTGAGGAATTGAACTTAGCTGATCCTTAACAGCTGGATTCTTCTTGGCAGCATGGGAATAGATGTTTTCAGCCTTCAACTTTCTTTTCCTGGAATGGCTGCTATTTGCACAGTCCTGTTCTTATTCTGTTCTGCATGTCTCAAGCCCCTTTGCTTGAGAGGCTTGTGTGCACCCAGCATTTTACTTTCTTGGCAGCTTTGTTGTGTAGTGTCCGCAACTCGCTACTTAATCCCGAAGGTTAGAGTGTTCTTATGACGGCACTATCTGATGCGCTGTCCTCTGTATGGTCAGTGGGGTGTAGTTGAAGTGTGGAGTTCATTAACATATACAGATCCTTAAATTATCCCTGAAATTGTTCAAAGAATGAACTGTTCGGTAATAGCCTGGGTGTGATTATGTGAACTGACCTCGCAGTGATCTGACCGTTCATAGCCTTAAAGGAACAAACAAAAGTGAAATGAGGTTGACGGTGGTGCTGCGCCATCTGTTCAACATAAAATCTCTTTGGCAGAGGCTAATATTTGCAGTGATAGATATTTGGAAGTGTGATATACCTCTTGGCAGGCTATTTCCATCGTCTTAGTCATATAGAAAAAGAGTAGGTGGTCAAGAATTAGTGCTAGCAGAGCTAAACTTTTGTTCTTTTGCATTGCTAATGATGAACACTGTCTTCCACCTCACATCACCAGATGATTTCTTTTGAGAACTTAGTGGCAGGCAGCCACGCTTTTCCCGCAGATTCTTTTGACTTGTGCATTACACTTAGAAAACGGGCAAATGGACGCTCTGGCAGCTGCATGACTTCCTCTCAAAAATAAAAGGTTCCCTAAATCTCAGCTGGTTCACAGACTTGGTTCAAATGCTTCACATTTGGATTCATTCCTATAGCTTTGACAGCCTATATTATTGTAGAAAAATCTGCTTAATATTCCTACAGAGGATATGCAGAGTGTGAATAACTTTGAAGAACTGTGTGCAGCTAGCGTAGATATACAAAGCTGCTTGGAACGGGTTGAATTTTTACTAGTTTTGTGAGATATTAGTGTCCCAGAGACTGAAGTGTTCCTTCGGGGACAGTTTACGTGTCAGTATGTGATGCGTGGTTATCTGTTGATGAGTGAACTCCGTATGACGAATAGGATGTTGTGATGCACAGCTTGCAGTGCTCAAAGGTCTTCTGAAGTTTGGGATGGAGAAGAAGAGTTGCATCCTCCTGGAAGTTCCAGATGGACACTTACAGCTTAGTTTTGCCTTCAGTATTTTTGAGTCCAGTTCTGGGAAAGTATGTGCACTGGCTTGCTTCCTCTGTAGTAAGGATATATGCAAGGGAGAGACTTAGTAGGGATCTAAAACCTTTGATAAGTAGATGATAGGGCTTGCTCAAAAGCAGCATATCTTGTAGGGAGTTGAGAGCAAACCTAGTATCCTGTTTCATTTTCCTCTTAATAAGAGGAAAATGTGAGAGAGGATATTACAGCTTTGAGGCTGGAAAATTCCATCTCCCTCTCCTTCTCTACTCCTTATTCTTGAGGAAATTCTCCAGTAATTGGCTGGACTTTCATCTGGGGTCACCTTTGTTTTCTGCTTCAGATTTTGTTTGGAAGGATTTTGGAACTACAAAAACTTGGTCTGTTTCAGGTTTTTTGTTTGCTTATTTTGGTTCCAAAAATCTCAGAAAACCCTGCAGAAATCGTGGGCTAAATGTCACTCCAAAGGTTTTCTTGCCATTGGCAGTAAAATGAGTAGATTTTAGTAATTCTATCCAGAGATTTGTGTTGTCTAAAAAGAAACTTAATATGACTTTCTAGTTGTTCATGGTCAGCTTCAGCAAGTTAAATATTTTTGTCCTCAATGTTTATATTAATCCTTTCTATGTAACCTGTAGCTGGTTGACAAAGTAAAGCCTTGAGTTACAGTTAGATAGAATTTACTAAGCTTTAACCATTGTGAACTTGATGTTGTTACATGCAAAACGCGTCGCAGCTTGCTGTGAAGGACTTGAAAATAGTACGGAATAAAAGTACCATCTTTGGCTGTAATTTTAAAGCATAAATGTGAACATTGAAATGAGAGCTTCAAGGACAGGGAAGAAGCCTTCCTTGAAAAATCTGCTCTTAATATTTTTTTTCTGCAGTTGATTTGTAATGCACTTTAAACTACTGATTCATTGGAAACAGCTGGCTTAAACCTGAGCAGGGCCTAGATCTGATCTGCAGCGTCTTGCAGAAGCTTTGGAGGCTCTTCAGGCAGGTTTTGGTCAGTGGTGCAGTCCTGGCAAGAAACACAAGCAGTGCACTAGAGTAGGTCTGACATCAGGTACAGAATCCACCTAGAAATCCTCTTTTCTTTTGCCCCCACCTCCCTGTAGTGTCAGACAGGTGGTGATTCAGCTTTCAAAACAAGCTGCTGCTGGTCTGTAGTGCAAGTAGAATGAGCATGGAACTGCTCCCAGCAGAAAGAAACATTTCTGGGAAGCAAACTGGACTCTTTCCAAACCAATGTCCCGTGGAAGACAAGAAGCATTATTAAAAGAAGCTGAAGGCACAGTAGGGGAGAAGTGTCCTATCTTGACAAGTGCAGCCTGTGGGTGTTGAGCATGGGAGAGAGGTTAAATCGCCCTTTCAGATCATATGTGGTGTAATTCATCCTCTTGAGCTATTTATGTCCAATTATCTATTGGCTGCCAAAGGGATAAATACTGTTGTGCATTCTGTCTTGAAGACCAAACACATTAACGATATCCAAAAGGCTGGATTTCTATCTAGGTTTGTGGTTAGAAAAATCTGCCTGAGTCAGTATGGGATTTCTTACAGTGCATATATTTGTTCTGTTTGAAGTTGGCATTTATGAAACAAAATTTATGAAATCTTAAGTTAAAAGCCAAAATTCACTTGCAAGTCTTGTCCCAGATTTATAAATGCTGAAGAAGCCTGATCTAAGAACCATAGTCTTAAAAAACCAAAATAAACCACTTTTTCTACGTACATAGAACAAACTTTTGGCTTTCCTCAATTACCTAATGCTAGGCTAGAACTGATGTTTTTGGCTGTAAGAAGGGAGAAAGTACAATCCGCCCTGCTTTCACAGAACATTGAATTTGCAAAACTTGCAGAACTGAATTTATGAAAGTTGGAAGCAGTTCTGTATTTTAGGACCTAATTCAGCACCTTTCAGGAGCTCTTCAGTACTCTTATTTCCCTATTAGACTGTCACTGAATAGAGTATTCATCTTCTCCCAGGAAGTTCTTGCTGACTTAGATTTTAATTAAAGCCTGGATTTTAGTCATGACAAACTACAGGACACCAGGAAATACTTCAAAATCTACTCTGAATGTTTTCTGTGTCATATGTAACAAAGTTGTTTAGCTTTTGTAGAGAAACAGGGACACGTGCAATAAGGAATATTCTTTTTTTTTTTTTTTTATCTGTATGCCAATCAAGGGATTTTGTATAAACAGAGGCATTCAAAATCTGTTAAATTCTTACCTCAAAGCCACAATTTCTGGGGCTGGGAGAACTCAAAAGTATTACATAAAACTTAACAATTTCATTTTTCATTTCTCTGCTGGGGAACGTAAAGCTGATTCCTTGGCAAGTTTGCCAGCTGCCATTCTACTAAAATGCAAAGCTGTGTAAGCATTACTTGACTGAGGAATTCTGAATGCGTCCTGCATCTGACTGAACAGCATATGTGCAATGTACTGTTTTAATACAGATTTATCTGTCATATTGCAATTCTGAATCTGACCATTTTAGTTATTACAGGACTAATGGTGTGAAGTGGATGTCCGAACTCCGATTTTTTTTTTTCAGGCACTGCGCAAATGATGGACGCAAAACTATGGTAAAGAGCTTATGCCTTGAGATGACAAAGTAGGGGGTGGGATATAGGCAGGTGAGGGCTACGGGGAAGCAGTGATCGAGAAACTGGACGCTAGTAGTCTAACAGTTTGTTACGCATGCAAGAAGTGAGGTAGTCGTTTGAGGAGACGTTTGTAAAGGACTCTTGCTAAATTCCTTCCAGACTGGTGGGCAGTCGGGGAGATTATGAATTTCCTTTTCAAAAAATTAACGTTTGTGCGATAGACTGATAACATCTGTTGATCAGAATTAGGAATTAACTTCTTGATGTTGAACAGATTAAATGTGGTAGGTGTACGGAGGAAGCTAGGAAGGCGTATAAGGAACCTGGACAGAGTGCTGGAGTTAATGCTTCTTACAGAAACGCTGCATTTAGCATATCTGGTCAGTGACCTAATACTGTGTTTCTTCTGTTTCCCTTCTTGCTTAACTCTCCGAGGAGAATGTAAACTATTACTTTGTTTTTCATCCAGTGCTTGGTTCTTCCATATCGTAGCACTTGAACAATCTGCTTTTCTTCCCTTTTCTTCCCAGATGAAGCTCTAGAGATACTGTCTGACCTAGTTTTAACTTAACGTGTACTAAAATGGTTGAATTTTACATGCCCTGGCAACTTTATTCTTTGACTTAAATAAGGAGGAGGGATTCCATTCTTAATTAAATACACCACACTGGGGATTTATAGACAATTGGCACGACCTGGCAGGCAAACAGATTAATTCTTGATTGATCTAGTAATGAGTATTCTTTTTATTTTAGTGCTTACACTTTTAGTTCATTAGCAGGTTGAACAAACTAACTGACATATATAGAGAATTTATTTAAAAGGAAGGCTCTGGAGAAGCATACAGGATGGAGTTAGACTGAAGCAACCCGCTTTAAGAGTGATTTTTGCTGTAATGGAAAGGTACACATTTTACAGAGCAAAATTTTTGTTTTGCAGATGGCTTATTCAATCAGTACATCAGTCAACAAGAATACAAACCTCGCTGGGGGCAGATTATCCCCAAAAGCACCAAAGGTAAGGCTATTTCTTAAGATACAGCCCTTGCACTGCTAGAGCTATCATGTTGCTTTGTGGACACAGAGCGAGAAACCGATGCAAGAAAGCCTCCTGTAGGACAATTTTTCTAGGGGATAGTATTGTCAGTGGAAAATTTGCGTTCGTCTTCAAAGTTAGTGAAGTATAGATTGATCTCTACTTGAGTAACAAACACTTCACAGGAACTCTGCCTCTAACTTCAAGCCTAACTGATCAGTTTGATAACAAATCTCAGGTCTAGGTTGACACTAAGAGCAGTAACCTGCATGACTGGATTTAATGCATGGAGTGAGCTTAAATCTGAAAACTTTGAGTCCAAAACAGTGGATCTGAAAACAGTGAATTCAAACAGTGAATCTATTTCCAGTACTTTCTACCTTAAAGAAATCCCATAACAACAGCCTTGACTATGAAGTACAAAAATTGCTGTCTCACAGCACGTCTGGGATTCAAGGTGAAAATTGCCTAATGTGGAGTACCATACCCAAACCTCTGGGGAAGTGTCATCTATGAGTACAAGCAGACTCCTCTCCCAACAGAACGAGTGTTGTCTGTCTTACATTGCTTCCCGCAGATGACTCCTGTCCTGAATGCTTTAAGAAATCTAAAGTGGTTGGAAAGCTGTTTTAATTGAACAGCTGGAATTCCCCTTATACACGAGAGTAAACAATTGGTGCAAGGTTAGCTATGCTATGTCTTTACCATTAGCTCTTTGCTTCTATCCTATGGGTAGGTTGCTGTGTTATTTGAGTATCCTTTCTAGCTCCTCTGCCTTCAGGCACTTCTGAAAGTAATGAAAGACTATCTGCGTATCCAGTATTGGAGAGCAGCAAAGACGGCCCAAACGTCGACCACTTGCGTGGACTTGGATGTTTCAGGAACTCTTAAATTCCTTTACGAGTCTCTCAGAATAGCAGTATAATACTGCATTCACTATCTGTCAAAACAACTCAATATAAAGCTGTGCAGTTTTATAATGGATAGATGAAGTAGGAAGGTGGTTATGTGGAGAAGGCGTTTTGTTAACGTCTAAAGAACGGTGAGCTCTTCAGTTGGCCGCTTCTGTCTAGCGTTTAGGCTGCAAATGGGCTTGTATTTTTCTTTGGTTTAAAATCTCACGTAAGAGAAAACTGTCCCCTCTCCCTTTCTTTAAAGGTGATGGAGAAGACAGCCGACCAGGGATGAGAGGCGGTCATCAGATGGTTATAGATGTTCAGACAGGTGAGTAGTAGTTGCTAAATTCCTCAATGAATATATAGTTAAATTTGCAGGTATGTTCTTTCTTTATAGAATGTCTTAACTCTGATTTCTGAGGTTAAAAAAAAAATAGTTTTTAATAGAGCTGAATTAAATATTCTGCTTTCTCTGTCTGGAACTATGCTCCAACTGCTTTTTCTTCCCCCTTCTTTCCTAATAGTTCTCCTTTAGGCCTCAGTCTCCTTGTTTGGCTACTAAGAGACCAAGAACAATCGTCTTTTTATTTTATTTTTTTTGCCCCTCCCATTGATTTTGAGCAGGTCCTTCGACTAGAGAAGAGAAATTACAGATGATGATTTCCCTTATCTGCTACACGCTCTGTGCTTGGAGTAGCACTCGGCAATAGAACTGATATATTAAAACATTCCTTGTGTTTTGGCTGGAGTGGCTTCTAACTTTCACAATAAGTGTGTGACAAGCGGTATTTAAGTATAATTAATTTGACTCTTTTTACAAAAATGTTTTCTACAGCAGTTTAAAGAATGGTTCAGCCTCTGTTCCCGAGAGCCCACAGAGAAAAGGAAAGGGAGGGGTGCGAGTAACAGTTTTTTTGATCATCGTACTCTGTGATTTTCCGTAGCTCTGTCTTACTTCTGTGTGTCAAGATTTCTGTGGTCCTTCACTCCTTATTCAAGTAACTGTCCCGTTACGCTTCCCTGCCAATATCTTTTTCTTAAGCAAATGATTTCTATGAGTAATAGAACTTCTGGCAGGAAAGGAGAAACAAAATCAGAGCTGCGTGTAGCGAAGAGGAGTATAGGATGACACTGAGGGAGCAGGCAAAAATTAAGGTGGCCATGTCTATTACGGTCATATGGACTGGGTTTGAAGCATGTGACAGGATAGTAGCTTAACTGCAATTTGCTAAGTCATAGTGAACAAGCAAAAACGCAACAGTAGAAGTTAGTCTCTGGCCTTTACTCAGAGTGGAGTTATTGCTCTAGAGCAAGCACTCAAGTTGTGTTGCATATGAAAGTGAACTTTTTTTAACAGAAGAATTTTGAGATTCATTAGAATAAAATGCTGTTGTGGGATTGTTGGTGTTTATATGCAAAAGAAGCTGTGAAACGCACCCTAGTGGCCTCAGAGAATCAGTAGAAAGACTGGTTGTTTCACAGGTATGCTGGAGAGATCAGAGGCTTCTCAAGTTTGAAATGAGATTCCTTTGGACTTACTGAAAGCAATATATTCATGGTAGCGTGAGTCTCCGTTTCCATTCCTGTTGGCTTTCTGAAATCCTCGTAAGCTGATATTTCTCTAACGTTGACTTCACTTTTCCCTCTGCTTTCAACAAGGCAGTAAAAAGCACCATTTTTTTGCTTGCACAAAAGGGGCTGGAGTGCCCTTACGGAAGCAGAGTCATATCCCGAGAGCTGGATTTCCCTCTGCCACATGAGTTTGTTCTTGCCGCAGAGTTATCCACTGGCGGCAGGATAATCTGAAGGAAGGTTTTGCTGTAGGGTATTTGGAAAGTTGCGCATAGTTTTGCTTCCAGGCCCACTGAGGCCTGTAAAAGCCCATATATTTTTGAGGTTTGTTTTTGCTGTTTAATTTGGCTTATGAACAGGCCAGGGCAGTTCCTCGAACTGTTTGTATTCTTAAAACTTGCTGCTGCTGACTGCTTGAATTTTCCTTTTGAGTTATAGGTATTATTTAATGAGATTAGGAATTTGGCCAGTTATGTGAGGATGTGTTTTACAAATTGGAGCTGGTCTCCCTGGCTAGCCTTGAGCAAATCTAACCTTAATGGAAAAAAGGAGCAGCAGCATACCCTTTTCCTCAAAGGCAGCCTCTCCTCTTTACCCACACACTTCTTGTTTTCTCAGAAGCCTTTGGAAGCTGAAGGAAAACTGGTTTATTTTGCATCCCTTATTGAAAGGGTGAAGTCCTTCTCAAAAAATGAATGCTTTCCTCAGCTTTAGTTTTCTAGGGAAGAAATAAAACTCCAAAATTGGAGGTATAGAGAAGCCCTTAAGTTTCGTATCACATGGAATAGGTGTTGCTAGCAAATTATAATATTTGATATCCAGACCTACTGTGGATGTAATTGTAAGCAGTTCTGCTTTTTGATTAACTTCCAGTAAATATTAACCAGTTATTACTACTTACAAAAAGATAGGTTCGTTTTTACTAAATTCTGTAACAGTACCAAGGCTACTGGATGCACGTATTCAGTGTCACAAGAGAGGTTATGTGTTGGTAAGCAGCAGAACTAGTTATCGTGTTAGTAATAGTGAGCTGAGTCACTGGCTCTGTTTAGGCTCTAAGCTTCAAATCTAATGTAGTTTAACTTAGTTCAAGCTACCTCTTCTGTCTTACCCTCTAAATGAGGGTAGGCTTGGAGTAACTGAAAGAACAAGTATGGCATCTTTGGCAGACAGTAACTTGTGTTGTAGCTCATTGCCGTCTGATCGTGTTCATGCTCTTTAGAGTCGCTGCAGGTGGGAATGGGTGACCAGACTGCCAAATTAGCGTTTTAAGGGATAACTTCTGTATTTTAGAAGAATATACTTACTGTGTTTTGGAGGTTTATTATTCCATAGGTATGGTGGAATCAGTGTTTGCTCTGAAAGAACAGAAATAACTTTATGTGAAAGAGAGGGTATAGTCCAGAAAGCCATTGAATTTGTTTTTGGTAACAAAATGGGGTTTTTGTTTCATTTTTAAAGAATAATAATAATAATAAAAAACCTGCACAGGCTTTTTATCCTATTAAAAAAAGTCTTTCGTGATATCTCCTAATTGTTTGAAGGTTCACCTTTATTTCATTTAAATAAAATCGGAAATTTTCTGATAAGTCTGTTAGAAGTAATGGCTGAGCAACCATTACGACTTGTGTTTGCATATCTTCGCTTCGGCAAGTGAAATATTTTCTGAAGGAAAATTTTTAGTGAAATGGTCTGTATCAAAATGTTACCTCTGTTCACTCACTAAAGTGGGGCTAACTTGTAATTTTGGAGGCACGTTATTTTACGTCTCCTTCTGTGGCAAGGCATTCTACTTAATTGTATTAGACAGGCGAAAAATAAAGTTTGAGAGCTGGGAGAAGTGGGAGATTGAAAGCAGTTGGCACAGGGGGGGAGATGGTGCGGCTGACTCGAAAGAAACATGGAAACATGAAAAAGATGGAGCGAGCGAAAGCAGCGTAGGCATGAAGTAAGGTGCTGTTTTGCCTGAGGAAACACTTCTAGCCATAAGATCTTTTATTCAGAGATAGGACTTGTGTACAAGATGAAGAGATCTCTGAAATAAAACACAGATGGCTTTTAGGCCTCTCAAATGCAAACAGCTGCTGAATCCTGGAGGTTATTCAACTTTATGATGCCTTTGGATTTGAGAGGGAGACTTTGTATCTGCGTTATTTGCCTACTGAGAACAGTCCCAGCCTGAACAGCCTTGCGCTTAGCCACCATCTGCACCGAATTGTGATTTGGAAAATGAATGGTGTGATGCCTCAAGTAAATGTGAGGTCTGACTTTGTGAAGAGTGCTCAGAGCACAACTGCAAAGTGCAAAATTCGGCTTGGAGATAGATTAAAAATGTGGTCACTACAGAGGGTGCTGTCCTTTTGAAGAAGACCTTTTACATCTTTTACATTTGCATTTTCTGCTTCTGAGAGAAAGGCCTCCCTAGGTTTGTGGAGGGACACCGAGTCTAAACATCCTCCTTACTAGGTGAGACCCCTGTTCACTAACAGATAGGACCTTTTGAAGCTGGGCCTCCGTTCCGTGAAAAGTACGGAACTTACGCAGAGTACAAGAGGAGGCAGAGCTGTTGCACAGAGGTTGGGAACGTGTTGGGAGAGAAGAGATCTTGACCTGATCATGCTTTTGTGTGACTTAGGCTGTGGAGGAGGCTGAGCAGTCTACAGCTGTAGACTGTTATGCAAAGAGTGAGCCCTGTTTCCTTGTGTGACTTCTAAGGAGTTGGGGGTTCACTTTCATCTGCAGGAATTATTTGTTTTTGTTTTCTTCTCCCGAAGTTATTTGGGAGTCTGAATCCTCTCTCAAATGCACCTCTGGCAAGTTTGTGGATGATCCCACATTGGGGGGGAGTGATTGATAAACTGGAGGATAGGGCTGTGAGTCACAAGGAAACTGAGAGGCTGGAGGAGTGAGCTGACAGAAGCCATGTGAAGTTCAGCCAAGACAAGCGCAGAGCCCTGAACCTGGGATGTAATTGTTATGTGCAACGATATAGGCCGGGGATTGACTGCATGGAAAACAGATCTGCAGGCAGTAGACGGTTAGCTGAATGTGAGCCAGCGGTGTGTCCTTGTGGTGATGGTCAGCCTCATATTGGGCTGCGTTAGCTAAAAGTACAGCTGGCAGGTTAAGGGAAGTGATTTCCCTCTGTTTGGTACTTGTTGAGACCACATCTGGAGTACTGTGTCCAGTTTCAGCTCCCCAGTACAATAAAGATGGCGATGAACTAAAGTGAGCCCTAGCGGAGGGCGACTGCTCTGCCAAAACGGTAGAGGGCTGGAGCATATGATGTATGAGGAGACACTCGGGGAGCTAGATTTGTTCAGCTTGCAAACGAAAAGGCTCAGGGGAGATGTTACCGCTTTCCGCAACTAACTAATGGGAGGTATGGAGAAGGTGGAGCCAGACTCTTCTTGAGGGGGCACAGGGAAAAGATGAGGTACAACGAGCACAAATTGCAGCGAGGGAAATTCCAGCTAGATATGAGGAAAAAGAAATCATAATGAAGGTGGTCAGTCATTGGAACAGGGTTTCAGAAGAATCTCGGTGCTCTGTCCTTGGAGATATTAAAAGCTTAGCAGAGTATGTTTCTGAGCAGCCTGGTCTGTCTCTTAAGTTAGCCCTACTGTGAGGGGTTAGGGGGAGGGCTCTTGAACTAGATGACTTCCAGAGGTCTTCTGGATCCTAAATTATTTCGTGTTCTCTGGCGAATTGTTCTAGCAGAGACATGAAATTACTATTTGACTGAATTGTTTGGCTAAAGAAGTCATTAGGGTTGGAGCATATCCGTTTTGCCAATGTTACGTTGGAGGATAACGTCCACAGAGATGCTCCAGGAGATCAAACATCCTTCATCAGCCTAGCATTATGAGTTTACTGTGCTAAATTCTGATGATGACGAAGACTCGCTGTGCCAGAAGCCCACCAAGGACTTCACCGTGCAGAGAGGATAGAGTTAACAGAAGGAGGGGAAAAATGACTTTGAGAACATATCTCAGTCTAAACTGAGGTTGGCAAGAAATATGTTTCTTTTCTGTGTATGTCCTCTAATACTTTGAGGAGCGCTCTGGCATCTTCTAGCCTTTTGGACAGTAAGGGAAGAAAAGACTTTAGATGTTATAGAAACATTTTTGACTGAGCAAGCAATTTAGAAATATTCATAGAACTTATTCAAAGTGTTGAATTCGTATTCAAAAATAAACGTAGTGGAGGTGAAGATAAGGTGGTGGAGGAGAAATTTGATTTCCTAAATGTAGCTGGTGAAAGGTTTGGGGAAAATGGAACTGCTTTCCTGTTTTTCTTATTGTCCTGCAGGCAGAATTGAAAATTCTTCCAGTCTGTCCCTAAAGCAGAACAGGGGGTTGCTTTAATAAAGCAATATCAATATTACTGTGTTACTTATTGCTCAGATACAGCGGAAAAATCCCTGCCTCTGTCGGAGAGGGATGCCCTGCCTGCATTTTGAATTTCCTGTTCCTATTAAAGTAGAAATTATTATATTGATGTGAGGCTACTCACTACTTAGTTTCCCACTCCTGCTGCCTGAAGGTTCCCTCTGTCTGCTGCCTTCTTAGAGCATGGTCTTTACTGATATGCTATTTAGGTGTTGTGGCAACGTCCGAGACTGCCAGAGTCATGGACCGTGGAGCCTGTCGTGGCTGGAACTTTGCTTACAGGGTGAAAAAATGGCCCTTCCCCCAAAAGGCAGATGGAAAAATAGAGCAGAAGGTGTGCAAACTGCCTGAGGAACCGAGTAATAATTTTGCCTAAACCTTGGGAGAGCAATTGCAAACTTTAGAAGAACTATGAAAAAAAAATATCTTCTTGACTGGCAACTGCTGCATTTCAGTTACGTATTGAGACAAGTTTCTGTATTTTTAAAGGAACTTTATATAAAAATATGTATATAGTTCTGTAAATAAATGAGAAAAGGTTGAGAACATGTTTGTCTTTCTGGGTCTGGATAATGATGGAGTTTTATCTTTCACCTGAACTACAGTTCTCTACCAACATTAAAAATAAATTTGGCACACTGTTCATGTACGCTTGTGTTATCGTTGTTCTTCACAGGCTCTAGGGGTGTGATTCACACTGACTGTATGATTCTGCCTCTTTCTGAGTGCTTACTTACATGCAGCTTGATTTAGGTAACTTTAAATCTGAGTTTTCATCAGATTCATTCAGGTTTGCTATTAAATTTCATCTCGGACAAAGCCTTTACAGGCAGGCATGACGTTTTGGCAAGAACCCAATAGGATACTTGGCCGGTGCCAAATCTTTTATTTTCCTCAGCTATCAATGAAGCTGTTGTGGTAATGTGGGTTTTGTGAGCTGTGAGAATTTATGTGCACAAAGGGACCTGCTCTTTGCAGGGAACACTGGGAGCCCTGAGTCCAGGAGGAAGGGTAATTAAAGTTAATGAACCAAGGTAACCTTTCCATGGTGATGCCCACTATCCCAATGGTAGGTAAGGGTCAGGGACTAGTCCTGTTTTCTAATCGCACTTCTAACTCTGCACTTTAATTGGTATTGGCTTAAAAATTGGCCGTTACCCTCATAATAGAGCTGGTTTGTGGATTTTGAAAGAGTTGTTCAAAACCCTCGACGTCTTCAGTGGCTTGTTCTTCTTGGACTTGACGTTGTGTTGTGTTTTAACGTAGTCTTAAAAATGAAGTGTTTTGAGCATTTGAGACCAGGTAGCCTCGTTTCTAGCTTAGTCACCTCTCCGTGTCAGAAGAGAGACTTCTCCTTCCTTGTATGCTTCCTGAGTTCGGAGACTTCGTCTCGTTCTATCAGTGTGACTGAGAAGCAGTTGAACTTGCTCTGCTGTCAGTGGTTGGGGAGACTGTGGGTATAAGGTAACATGCTCTAAAGATGGGCCTGGAATACTGACTTAAATCTGTTACTCTCGCTTGCTTTTGTGGCCTTGGATAAGTTACTTTATCCCCTTAAACATTTCCCTTAAAGATTTCATAGGTGAAACATATTTTCCTTTATCGGCGGTGGGCTAGACAAAAGTTCTGTTCTCTCAAAAGTCTTTTTAATCTATAAATCTTGCCCCAAACAGCATACAAGTGAAGGACTCGCTGAATAAAGGCTAATAATGCATAGCATCCAAAATACTAAATACTGTTAATTTGTCTTTCTTGAATTTTAACTTACCAGTGCATGGATTTGACTGCTATGTGTGCCTCTGTAGGAGTAGAGAGTGACTCTTTGAGTTGTGTGTCTCTCTATCCTGAAAATTTCCACTGCTAAACCAAACTATAGTTCTGTCCTGTGACTGGTATTGCTTTCAAAGAGGAGCTGCACTTCAAATAAGAGTCTGTTTCCGTTTCTGTTTTGGTAGTCTTTAAGACCTATGGTCTTTTTGTCACAGGGGCTTTCTAGATATTAGCCTGTTTAAAAGCATATTTTCTCTCTCTTCATAAAACTCATGTATGTTCTGTTCTTCTTTTTATTTTCAGAAACTGTTTATTTGTTTGGTGGCTGGGATGGGACACAGGATCTGGCTGACTTTTGGGCATACAGCGTGAAGGAAAACCAATGGACGTGTATATCCAGAGATACCGAGAAAGAGGCGAGTTCTACAAACCCATATTACTAACATGTGAATTGTTGCACAGAAAAATGCCGTGCTTTTGAAGTGCTTGTACTGATGTGTAATATGCCTTAAGAGCCACAAAATTCAAACATTCAAGTTCTAATAGACTCTTGAAATGCTTACAGTAGGAAAACGAGAAATGAGTGTGAATTTGAAGGGTGGTTACTGCAGGGGAAAGGTTTATTTCTCAAGAGCAGACTAGTCAACCAAAAATTAGTGGAGGGAATAGAGGGCAAGTTAAATAATTTGACAGGACTTAACAACCAGACTGACTAATAAACATTTCAGACCAGATGCTTCAGAAATAAATCGTTTATTTTTTTTTAGCTTTGCTCAAAAATATGAACAAAGATGGACAGCAGGAGACGGAAACCTAGAGAACAAGGGTAACTGCCAGAGGCCACATGATCCCAAGAGCATTCATGGCAGTCACTTGAGCCGTTTTGCTTGGCCTGTTTTATTCAGTATTTGACGTATGAAACCTCTGAGATGACTGTAGCTTGGGTTATAGGAGGCAACGTAAAAGTCCAGTACCCTTGGGTTGTGTAATTCACGTTACTGTGCACTGTGAAATGTTAGTTTCGTCTGGTTACTGTGTTTTGAGTTCGTTACTCGTTTGTCGGAGCATAATTTCTGGAAATTCATCTTGCCTCTCTGTTCCACTGCTTCCTTCGGTAGCCAAATTCAGGAGCTGATCTCCCCAACTCTTTGTAAGAGGCATAAGAAGCGTCTTAGTTCCTATTTGAATTTTTCCAGTCCCTTGCCACTAGTTCATTTTATGAATTTCTGTACCAGATTAAATAACACTTTAGTGCTGTTGTTTTTTCCTGACAAAGGTGTTTAGAAATTGTAATCAAGTAGAATAAATAGCCTAAGCTGAAATTCTCACAGTAAGGCACTTCCCTTACCCTTCAAATCCCTGTGCGGGGCACTTTTTTCAACATCCTTTACAAAATGGAGAGCAACAAAACTGAACACAATATTCCAGTATTTTTACAGTGCTGTTTAAAGGTAAAATTATCCTCATGTTTCATATCCCTGTAAGGTGGTGGTGGTGGTGGTGTTGTTTTTTGTTTGCTTGCTTTGATTTTACTCTCAGCTCTTTGATTACTGCTCTGTACTACTCATGGCTACTTGTATTCAGTGACACGATGCTGAAGCAGGATTTAGGCTTTCAGGGTCTAGCTGCCCATCCTCTGTAGGCTGGCCTTGTATGGCATCCGTTTAGATCTTGAACTGTGGATTTTACATAAAGAAACATTCTCACCGTTTACCCCATAGACATGTGGCCTGTATCTTAAGGAGGCTGTGTGACAGAATAACAAGGGAAAATTGGGATTCACCTCCTTTATCAACTCATATGGTAAAGATAAAACAGACCTTCCTCTACATTGTCTCCCTTCAAGGAAACAAGAAAAGTAGAAAAGCCTCTTGGACAAAGTAATTTTTAAACTATGTCTCTTCTTTCATTTTTTTTTCCCCTGCTTTGTAGCTGTTCAGCATGTACATTTGTCTAATTTTTGATAGTGTAATAGCAACGTCCTGCCAAGAGGGATTGCCATGTCTTCCTCCCGCACAAACAAGCATGGGTAGTTTGGATTTTTCTTTAAGAGATTCATTTCCTTTTCTGATGGGATCCCGTCTTACCCAGTTGAGTTTCTGTAGAGCTTGGGAGGCCTGGCTGGGACACAAGGAGTCAGCAGTGCCAGAAACAGCGTATGTTTTCTCTTGAAGTTTCTCATGCCTGTCTCTAGCTGGGTAATGCTGGGATGGAAGAAAGGAGTACACAATGGGCAGCTGTGGAGGAGACAGTAGAAGAGTTGTGACTTGATGCAATAAAGTGCTTATAAGGGAACCTCATAAGAAAAAGAGAACGGGATGCATTGGAAGGGCAGGAAGTGGAAGATTGGAAGGGTCTTGGACTGATGAAAAGTAAGATAAGAGAATTTAGGGGAAAAAGGAGATTAGGTTGAGCATACTGGGAATTTTGAAAAGATGGATAATGAAGGGAGAAGAGTGGGAAGCAACGCGTGGGGTTTTTAGTTCTAGAAGGACTATGTGCGTGCTTATAGTCTGGAATGGCGTTCGGAAGAAGGTTGACGGTACGGCTCATTTACACTGATGCTGAGGCTTAGTCCAGGATTTTATAACTTACTGAAGCGCAGTGAACTGGCTGCTGCTGTACTTGTAAGCCAGTAGTGCTTTTTCCGGATAAAACCCGCTTTGGAAATGAAAAGGTCAATCTCAAATGGAAAAGTAAATTCAAAAACAAAGACTCCAGATGTTTCCCTAATAGGAGCATCAAATGTTCACAAACAATTTGCTAAAAGGAAATTTCTGTTGACATGGAATTTTTATAAATATTCAAAATAGATTCCAGTGGAACTTAGTCTTGTTTTTTTAATATATTGTGCTTGTTCTGCTTCTAGCTCTTTTGTTCTGATTAGTCAGTGACACTGATTAAATTAGCCACTGAATAATTAAACTCAGATAAGAGCAAAATATAGTAAATGTTACACATTTTAGGTGTACACATTTAGATCACGTCCTATGTAATCTTAAGGGTAACGCACAGTAACACTTGTGGGATGAAGGTGCAGTGCCAATGTATTATAGTTTTCCGCTTGGTATTGCATTGTGAAAAGTTTGTGACCTTTTTAGTAAACTGTATTGCTGCTGCTGTGTTTCGGCTGTGTTTTTGAATTTTCCTAGTGAGCTGGAGTAGTATGTCTTTGTCACCTGAAGCAGCAACTGGGATTTTTTTTTTTTTTTTAAGTTAGACTACACCAGCTAATCTTCTATGCCTTTTTTTTTTTTTTTTTTTTTTTTTTTTTTTTAATTTAGACTACCCCAGCTAATCTTCTATGCCTTTTTTTTTTTTTTTTTTTGATCGTGAAAAAAATGCTCACAGTACTGCTGGAGTAGCTGATCACTACTCTTCTTAATTCGGAGAGAAAAAGAAAGTGGGTCTCCAGTACTGCGTGTTGGAGTGAAGGTCCAGGATACGTGCCGCAGTCGCCGCTGGCCAGATGGAGCGGCCTTCATGCTTCCCCACCATCCCTTTGATGCATGGAGCCAGAATGGCTCCTACAGCCCTTGTCAGCTCCTCCTGCTCTGCGTCCACATCCCTCCAAGGGAAGATGCGACATGGAGTAGCCCGTGACCCATCGCTGCTGCCCTTCTGGCTGTCTCCTCTAAGAAATGCTTATTTGAGTATGCAATAACTCTACGAGTAATCAGTTGGCATGAGGCAGGGCCGAAACATGTGAATTTTAAGAGCCTTTAAGAGCTTGTACCCTGAACCAAGGGGATTGTTCTGACAAATGCTGTTGCCTCCAAGGTTTATTAGTGGTTATAGATTAGTAGACATTTTGAGGTTTTGGGATTTGAGGATTTGTTTTGAAAAAACCAACACTTTCACTCTTTAGGCATTTTAGTCTTATACCAGTGTAAGTTGATAGAGAAACTTAATGTGTATATTTGGGCTTTTACTGTTTCTATTTCCAAGCAGTAACCTTCTCTTGGGAAGAATAATTTAGTGAAATTCAGGACAGGAGGACAATTTAGTGAGTAGGTAACTGTAAGAAAGGCTTCACTTGGTGTAAATGGGTAGGTATGCGGCCTTTCAAATACGCTCAAAATGATGAAGGATGTTGGTATCTCAAGAGATCTGATAAGTGACAAAGATGATGGCGTGTTTTGTCACTGATTTGTTTTTTTTTTAATTTGTCTCAGTAGTTTTTAGAGAAATTAGAAGAGATAGAGGATCTCCCGTCAAACCAGTTTTTTATTGTCTTAATATACAAGACAGAAAAATGGAAGGAAAAAGGATGCAACGTATACAACCAGGAAACTGGGAAACAGGTATAGAAAAACTGACTTTTCCAGGAGCAGGCTGAAGATGTGTAGCAGGACAGGAAGATAAACGTGAATTTCTAGGATTTAGGACATGGAACTTTAAGTATATGCCAAGTTTCTTGCTAGCCTTAGTAGTGCAAGTAGACCCATGGGTGTTCCCATCTGTCACTTTTTTTTTTTTTTTACATGAATTCTAGACTGATGCAGGGTATGGCAGATCAGAAAGCTTGACTTCTGTTTAGAAGCACTGGTAAGCTCTGTTGCTGTGCACATTCGTATGGTGTGTTGACTGGTGCCATTATGGCTTTTTTAGAGGGAAGTCCTGCCTCACAAATCAGAGCTCTGTGAAAGGCTGTGTAAACAGGTTAGGGTTAGGTGGCACTATATCTTTGCTAAAGCTTTTCAATAGCGTTTCTCACCAAAAACACCTAAATTAAGTGGTCTTAGGTAGAAGTGAAGGTCTGCTCGTGGGTGAGTTGGTTAAGAGGATAGATTGCTTCTCACAAGTGAAGGAAAGCCTAAGTCAACAAGAGTCTGATGTTCAGTAAGTTCCAAATGATCTAGAAAATCGGTGTATTGTAGGGCAACAGTTGGACGCTGACAAGAAACATTTTCCTAGGATACTGAAAACAAAAGCTGAGGAGTGTAGAAAGATCTCATGCTAGTGGGAGCCATGATAATTTTTCATCTGCTAATGTATTTTTCATTAGACTTCCCATAGTATCTGCATATCTTTCCATAGTATCTGCATGCGCTGATTTGCATTTGTTGAAGTGTACCCAGTTTCCAGCCTCATGTTACCACACAGCAATTTTATGCATTTGTAAGCATTTGTAACACCTATGACTAGTTTTTAGGTGTGTAGCTAAAATGTGTAAGCCTACATATGTAAAGTTCCTATCGTATACTGTTCTAAGTGTATGAACTGAACTTGTTTCAAATATTGACTCTTTCCTACAGATCATGTAGTTTGGAAGATGCTTGGAGCACCTTGCAAGTTTTTTTGATTCAAATAACTGTGATGTTTATGCACTTGAAATCTAATATACTGAATCTGCCATTTTCTACTTCTCGATATTGCCGGTTGTGCAGATGCTCAGTTGTACTAACTGCCTGGT